AAGTGAAGAATGATCATCGCAGTATATTTTCCAATTTAAGCAATTGGAAAGAAGAAGCCTGAAAAAAAATCAGGGCTTCAACGGGATTCGAACCCGTGGTCTCCGCGATACCGGTGCGATGCTCTACCAACTGAGCTGAAATAATTCATATATGAACTGCAATTGCTTAAATTGGAAAATATACTGCGATGATCATTCTTCACTTTCATACCTGACACTATTTTAAGCATCTTTGATGGCAAATTATCCAAACCTGTCACTTTTTTAATTTTTAGCTTTTCAAGTAGTTTTCGGGGTTCAATGAGTGCTACAACTGTTAAAAGAGTAAGTCTTGTCTGTGAGACGAGATAATTTTTTGGAACGTCAGTGTCAGCTGAAGGTATGTCTCTTGCCAAATCGTGTCCAAGTTTGCAAAATAAAAGTTACAAAGCATTATGCCATTTCAGATGCAGAGCTTATTTTCATATCCCGATTTCAATATCAGCAATAATTTTCTTCTTATGTTGACGAGACCTCAGCTCATTAATTAGCTATATTCTTCCAAACCTACCACATTTCGTAAGGATCAGAGAAAAGGCTAATGATATCCGATCCCATTGTCTGATTTCAACGCTCTTTTATAAATTTGTAAAACTTCGAATACTGATAATCTTGACTAATCCAGGGATGGTATTCATGTGTTTTGCAAATTAGAAAAATAGGGGAGTGGACACTAATACCAAACGGCACAACTCCTGACGTAACTATTTTATCAGGAGTATTAGTTACGGCAAGTAGGGACTGCGAATAAGCTGCTACCGCCGCTGGCTCCGTAGTCAGTTGACTAGGACCAAACTGAAACCTCACAAACATTGATGAGTTTGGAAGAATTGCTATCTGCAACGCCTGGTAACATCTTTATGTTACCATACCATAAGGTCCGGGAGTGTCAGGTAATTACCACAGATTGCGCATGTAAATCACGTGATACCTGTTGATGCAGAGAACAGAATGCATGCTGAAAAGGAAACATTTGAAAAGAGAAATTGTAGGGTGCAGTCCCCCTCCTTTAATTGCACGAGAGATTCCGTTAATTCCCCCAACTGACCAGGTGGTTCCTAGTGTAAGTCCAGAATTGGTTGAAGTCCCTTCAACAGTGGTAAAGATTAATCCTGATTCTGACACAACTAAACTTCCTGTGTCAAATACTCATTCTGTGGGTACTGCTGTTAAAGTTACTCTTCTGGACGAGTGAGTAAACCCCCTGAGAGACTGGACTTGTGGCTCTTCTAGTTAATTGTTATCTAGGTGTGTTTGAGGTTTGTTACCGCTCTTGTAACAGGGAGGAGGCGTGAAGTATCTTATGACGTAATAGGCGATGTCACTGGGGAATTCTGGGAGAATAAAAATTGTCGTTTGAGATTCACACGCGATTGGTTTGTGTGCAAACATTGGTCTTGTCCTAGACCTTTAAAATACAAAGAAAAAAAAAACAAAAAAAAAAACGTATTAAAAAAAAGCTACAGTACGTTGAACATTTCCACTGAAGTCCCAGCTCAATGTGACTCTGCACAATACAGTGACACATGATGATAATTGTGTGTAATCACTGACACTCGTTTGAGTGCAGGAAAGTACAATGACTTCTTTGAAAGTACTATTAACGAGGCTTGTAGCAGCGTATACTGCTCCTGTGCAATCCAAAAATAATACTAGCTGAGCCAGGATATGGTAAAGGCTTGCGCGATTGAGCAAAACAACGCGGAGAAACTCGCTCAGCATCGCCTGTATGAAACAAAAGATAACAAGGCCTTTGTTCGATAAAATTAAAGAAGAGCACAACAGAATGATTGAGAAATGGAAAATAACTAGCTTCTAATACTGTAACCAACCCCTGGTGGAACGCTGTTCAAAACTTACACGATATGGAACAGCATGCCCTGCAAATGTAGCAATGGCCGCAGTCAGTCGATTCCTAGTCTACCTGTCGGACTATACATGCTCCTGAAGGCGTGTAATTACGTAAACGTACAAAGTCACACGTATGTACGTATTACGATTTTACATAACTTGAAGTGCTTTATTACATGAGCTCATGAAATACATTGCTTTGTGCACAACTTGTTTTTAGTTTTATTGATAAACATTTATCGCGATGGTTTTGTAGTTTCAACGGAGTGTGTTGTAATTTTGTACAAATCACAAGCGGTTTGTTATCTTTTCTGCATGCGCATCTATAGCGATTATGTATTGAACCTGTCACACCTACAACGATTGTATTGAACTTCCCACATTTATAACGATCATGTAATAAACTTATCAAGCTAATCTCTCGAACACTCCATGGAGAAAAAAAAAAAACAAAGATACGTAAATATTTCATGACTCAATTTGCATGCACTATAAAGCGCGCCAATTGAAAACAGAATCTCCTCTGCATTTACACATATTGAAACGTTTGTTTTGTTCTTCTCCGTCGAAGCAAGATGAATGCATCTTTGTTCATCTGTTCAATATATAAATCCGAAAGACAATTCATGTCTATCAGTAGTTGAATTTTTAGAAGTGTTATTTCTCTTTGTAAGGTTAGAGCTATGATAATGCAGTCGGAAAAAACTGCTAGTTTCTCAGAAGGGGTATTTCTGATAATATCGAGCTAAGCGACGGCAATCTTATCTATGAAAATGATGATTACGCATTCCCTTCCAGTGAAAATTTTTCATCTACATTTATATAAGTATTTATAAGTTTAGTTTCTTCCTTGTTAGGTTAAGGGTCCTTCAGCATCGCTCGATGCGAGCGAACAACACATGCTAGGAGTACTATTGTAATTATGGTACCCTATGTAATCTACCAGACATCGCAATCACTGACGAACAGAGACAATAATGGAACTCAGTGTTCATGTCCCAAGAAGGACCTGTTGCCGAAGGTTGGAAAATCTTTGGAAATATCTTTCTCGACGACCTTCCGCACAACGTAAATTGGAAACGCTCCTGCGGAATTTCTTGCTGGCTATGGAGTAAATGACAGGATTAACAGAAGAGTTAAGCATAACAAATACGGTTACTATATACAAAAGGTATTCTTCATAATATTCCTGATCCGCGACCGCTGGCCAAACTACGACAGTTAAACGAAGAATAGTCAAAGGGAGCAGTGTAATTGCGCATACCAGAACGACTGGTGTAAGAATACGTTTAGCGCGTTTATTTTGACGAAGACGACCAGTTTTGAGTTTACTTAAAGAATTTTGTTCGTTACTCTCCACACCATCTTGATCCCGTTTCATGTCTTTGAGGAAGCGACTGCTGTGATTCAATGTACGTGATACAGCGACAAAAGTCCAAGATATGACAATAAGAGGCAGGATATAAGATAAAATAGTCAGGAACACAGTGTAAACTTGGGCCGCCATCCACGAGGGCCAAGCGGGACCACACCATTTCTCTCCCGCTGTTTCTTCTTTATATTCAACGACAAGGTACAACGGTAAACAAAACAATAAAAACGATGTCAGCCAAACGCATACAGCGACAAACTTGGCAGCTTTTTTAGGAGTATTATTTTTGTTTGTTATTGGTTTTCGCAGGAGGACTACTTCGTAATATCGAAGGACAGCGACCATTGCGATACACCACACGGAAGCGCCGTGGAATACGTCGGGAACGGGGTACAGATAAAGGCAGACAAATTCTCCAAGTGGCCAGTTCCGGGGTGCTTTTTCCCTGATAGTAATGAGCGGGAAGGATAGTAACAGAATGCCAAGGTCTGCAACGGCTAAGTTCAGCAGAAAGAGATCAGTTGTTGATTTTCTCTTTCCCAGTCCGCTTATGACAATTGCTACCAACACGTTGCCGGCTACACCAAACATAGCGATTAACACCTCGAGACCTAGTTTTAGAATATCGACAAGAGATGACTCCATTCTCCCAGCCATGACCATTGTCTCGTTCACTGGAAGTGAGGAGTTTAAATGTAAACTAGTTACATTTCCAATAACAGTGGTGTTTGGGCAATGCCTTGACATACAATTCTCCATAAATTCAGCTGGCATTTCTCGTCAACGTTTTGTTAGTAATTGACAAGCCCCGACTCACAGCTCGTCGACAAAGACTGATGAAGCGTTCTGTAAACAGCCAAAATAACCTGCAACACCTGCTGCAATAAACTTTCGAGTCATCGTTTACGCAAGTACACTAACCAATGCTAGCCCAGCAGTAGTAAGTCATTAAAACAAGTACGTGACAAAACTACAATACCAAATTACATTGTATACACTGTAGCTCTTAATTTATCTTTAATCGAAACTATCATCAATAGAAGAGGTGCCTAATTTTGAAGGTTTTTTGTTTACTGATAAGGCTTTCCAAGAAATCCTTTCCTAGCGTGGCTTGTCTTTACATAGAATCTTCTTTCAATAAATGTTTATCTTAAAATGAGAAAATATTGTACTAAATTATTTATTCCTTGAATTTGAATCGAATTGAAAAACGCAAAACAAGATAACACCTGTAGCTTAGCTTTGACATCTTTCGGGTCTTTGGGGAAAATATTAAACATATGACTTGTTGTCACATGGCTTTGATGTTCCTTCCTTAGTTAGTAATTAATATTCCTCTGGCATCAGTTTAACATCGTGAGTTAGTTTTAGCCATGCTAGTGCATTTTATCACAACTGGCGCATTCTCGACCTGCAAGCCACAACAAAACTAACTATGGACTGCAAAGAGAAACTCATTATATGAGGCGCAAGGCAAACAACGGATAGGATTTTGAAAGCTTATTGGTTTAATTACCGGCTACTTTCTGCTCGTTACTTACTTTTGAGGTAAATTATTGCCTGCGTCTCTAACCCGAATTTTGATCTCATGGTGCTTGTTTAGGTATACTTTGCAAGAACTTTGTGAGCACTCTATCAACTGCTACCAAAAACCTGGCCTTTTGCGAAACGTGATGACGTCACAAGTGTTACTGAGGAACGTGGTCGCTCAGAACATCTTTTTCGCGTTTGGGAGTCAAATGGTTAAGGTGGCCGAACACAGTTTTCGCGCCCGCTTTTGGAAATGCAATTCAGCGCGCGCACAAGGATTGCAAAAATACAAACATGCCGTCAATAGAGCGATCATTTCATTTACTCAGCACCCGCAGTATCTGTGCTATTTTTCTCTATAACTGAACGCAGTGTATTGATGGCTTTAGTCTTTTATCACAAATATATGTTGGAAAAGGTAAAGATGCAAAGAACTCAGCAATTCTCAGCTTTTTCTTTGTTACCGAAAGAACCCAGTTAAATGCAGCGAATGCGTAGTAAGTCAAAAAATTGCGATTGAATGAAAATTTGCACTCTCGGAAATACGCCTTTTTCTCGAGAACCACTCATTAGAATTTCACGAAATTT